TAAAGTGAGTTTTATAATACAGCCAAGTTACGCCTACGACTATTTGTCAATAAATTAGGCCTATTTCTTAGTGAAATCCTTTATAACCGTATTATAAGTTTATGATTAGATTAATAGATTTTGTTGAAATATAGATCCATCGACATGAATAATTAATAACGCTTGACAGAAGGATTTAACGATTTTTTATTACGTTTGCTGGATGAAAAAATAAAAATTCTAAAAAACGCTGTATTTCCTTAAGATTTAGGCGAATGAAAACCCAGAGACTTCTAGATTTTCCAAGGACACGGGTAAATGCAAAAATTTTTGGATTTCTTAAGGATGTGAACAGATAAAAAATGAATGGATTCAGAAATTGCCAAATTTGCCGAATTTTTTAAGGATGTGGATAAAATTCAAAAATTGCTGAAGGATTTTTAAGGATAAGTAAAAATCCAAAAATCCAAAATAAAAGCTTATTTATATATTTTAATATAAATGGAGAAAAAACAAATTCGTCGATGAATATTTATTTATAATATACATTTATTTATTTATTTATACATTGCAACATAAATGACAGAGCTCTAATTATTTGATGATAAGATTTAATAATCAGAGATTTACGCATTAATTTTAATGCCTGAATAAATAATATTTAACGCCTGTTTGCCTCGTATGATAACCGCCTATTGACCTATTTTTTTCCAAATCAATTATTTCGATCTTTTTTTGGAACTTTTTTTCGCATTCTTTTGTAAAGCGAGTCGTGAATGCGGAAATTTGCAAGAGAACAAATTATAATGCTTCCTAGCACTTCGAAAAATTATTTCATGACGTTTTCATTGGCAATAAATCTCAGAATAAATAAAAGTCGATAGAAATAGCCAAAATCAATTATATGTTAATTATTGCTTTATAGGCGATGTTATGCACAATTGAATCAAGTCCAAAAATTAATGAAGTAATTGCTTGCCAACGATATTGTTATCGGGACTTAACAAAATGGCCAAAACTTAATCAAATATGGTAAATAAATTTTCAGCTAAATTATATATATAGTTCAAAAGTCACGAGGAAATCAAAATGGTTTATTAGCAAAAGCCATTCTTAAAAATATTTCAGATAAATGGAATCTATAATTTGCTAATTTAGTATGTGTGGGTGTGTGTATACCTGGAAAAGAACTCTTCTATTTCCTCTAAAATCCCCCGAAATAAATCTTTCCGTTGCCTTAAATCGCCAATTTTTTCTGTCGAACTCCACTTTGATTTCATCGGAAAACGTTGTGCCCTTTGGTTTGCTGCAAATACTCCTCCAAATTTCACTGCTTAACGCTCCTTCGAACCTCACTTCATTCTTATGCATAATCTATTAGGCACAAACTTTTCATGGGATCTTAATCTTGCGATACATTTGCGATAGTCTTTTTAAAGCCATGCCCCATTAGAAGTACCACTTTAAACCCCCCTCCCCGCCAATATTATTTTAGCAACCCTTTCTATGATTCAATACCAATACTTCTTACCTCTAATATATCCCCAAAATTTCTTTATTCATAAGACGACATAGAACCTCAGTATATTTTTTAAGACCAAGCAGAAAAATCTCTCTGAATCCCTCACCTCCCCTCTCCCCCCCCCCACCCCCACCCACCTCTATTTTGTATTAAATCCATTGAAATTATCACATTAAAGTATTTTCTTAAAATCTTTGTAATTCCCATTATATTTCCTGAATGCCCTTCTTATTAACATCGCTTCAAACTCCCATATTCTTCTCGCTATTGTTGTTAAAATTCACCATATAGATCCTTTTGTTGAAATTCATCCTTTTGTTTTTTCTATCACTCGTGCTCTGTTCTATGCAAAATTTCTTTTTTCTATACATGACTTACAATCTAGATTTTGTATAAATTGTGATGTATTAAGGCATAAAGTAAGGATGTTGAGGAATGCGTTAAGGATGGTCGCATAATGGAAATATTGCGAATTTCAAAAGAGTAGAAAGCTATACCGAAGAAAATTTTACGAATTTTTTGAGTCTCAAATATATAATAAACTATCATTCTTGTCAATCTTTGTGATGAAAATTTCTAGATATAACTGATTTTTTCCTTTTGACAAACAAAATTATTTGTAGTTGGAATGGGAAATCTTTGAAAGTTAAACGATTATTGAAGATTAAACAAGGAAATATTTTTAGCTCGGCTCAATTTGATTTTTATCAACATCTAATAATTACTAAACAATTGAAAGAAGCAGCAATTATCGAAGAAATAACCGCACTTGCTCAAAGACATGCACAATTTGCGAAATATGGCTTAAAACCACATTTTTTGGACCTTTGGCAACAAAATTTTCAGGTCACCCATTCATATATTCTGTCAAACGCCTCATTATCATTGCAATTGCTTTTTCTGATCGTTAAATCTTGTTGTTCTCAGGCTTTGATTGAGAAAATCCAGATTGAAGAAAAACGTGAACAAGATGATTTCCATAGAGCTTGGAAAAAACTGAACTCATTTATAATTGATTGGATGAATTATATTTATGCAATTGAGATGGGAAATGAGCGGAGGAAAAGTCGAAGAGATATAAATGAAAGCTTTCCAAGTAAATTTTCTATAAATTCCAAAAATACATAAAAACGAATTATCTACCTACAATCTAGGGTTTCTCACTAAATTTTCGCAAATTGTGCACAGCATCACCAATTTTACTGGTTTTATAAGCAATACAACTTTCTTAAGTTCAACTGGAGATGATGCTGGAGGGATATGCGATGGTTCCAACTTATTAAGATTATCCGATTTATTAAGGAATTTTATCAACGCACATCAACATAAATTTGAATGTAGGGGGAACTGACTAATTTTTACGAAATAGAGACTGGCATCCGGAAACGTCCCCTTACACTTCCTCTTGTGACGTTCAAGTCTGAAATGCGGCATGTCTGTATTCGAGAATTCAAAAGGTATGGGAATCCATCCCAGCAGTTTTAACGGATCTCGAATACGCGCTAATAATGTAGTTCTTTTTATTGAAGTTATGAAGAATTAAAATCGGTGATGCAACGAAATAATTAACATGAATAAGATGAAACTCTTTATAAACCAACCCTAACCCTAGTACCATAAAGATACTCATACACTTTGGGCCTGGTTCTATAATGAATAGCCAAGGACCATATGACATAGATAGGAACTACACCTTTCTCCTTGCTCTCACCATAAATGGTTAGGCTGGCTCCAATGGCTACAAGGGTAAGACGCTTCCAAACAGCGCGATCCGATACCATCGTCGACAGTAATAGAAGCCATTCCTTTTTCCATCGTCTAAGTCCATATATTGCTGGTCCTATACGTTCAAAATCTTTCCTGACCGTATCAGCCCAGATTTTGACTGGTTCTCCTCGCTTTTGATGCCATCCATCACACGGTTTAGCAAGTAACAAAATATGCGATAACTCTTGTGGTTGACGGAGAACGTGCCATAACCACCCAAGACGACGCTTATTTGATAACGTTATTTATGCAAGTGATATTTGAAGAAAGATGGATGCGATCATATGATATGTTATCCGCTCGACGAACCCGTAAAATATACCTTGGACAATAGTGGTCAAAGGTAGATAACTTCTTAATATCCTCCACTCTCATTGGCTATGTCTCAGAGCCATATAGCAAGATCGAATGAATTACGGCCATATAGATACGGACTTTCGCTTTAATGGTAATTTCACGACGGCTCCATAAAGGTTTCGTCAACCGAAGAACGTATTTCTAGCTGCCGGGCTATAATATCATGTTTTGCCTGGCCATTTGGTATCAGAGTGGACCCAAGTTAAAATCGGGCACTTCACGACTGCCAATGAATTTACAAAAAGAGGCATTCTATCAGCTTCTTGCACATAAGACGAAAAGATTACACCCAGAAACGTTTTTTTTATATCTAGTGAAATATTTGTGGAATCTTCGAAATCAACATCAAATCAAAAGTTCGCATCTGGCTGCACTTTTGAATCCTGTTGTATAACTGCGAAATCGCGATGTCATATAATTCACCTTCGATCGAATACCATCTGCATTAATCTTATCGCCAAAGATCGTTCGTCTAGGATTGTTGCTCATCACCTACCATTTAATTCGCTATGATAAGGCTTATTGCAGATGGCTTCGAAAAAGAATAACTAAAATCTTGATATAATCATGAAAAATTTTGGGTGCAAAATTGATCCACCGTTATTTTGGTAAAGATGGCGGAAAAAGTATTTTATTTTCCGATATGGCACCAAATCGACAGACTTGGAAACGTCTTCCCTTTAATGCCAGTTTAAGATTTTTAGTGATGATGATGTGCACTAAAATTAAACAATCCCTTTTAAGGTATTGTGATACTAAGGAAATCTATCGAATAATATGAAATAGTAAAATTAAATGAACCCACAGAACTGCTAAATTTATTCTAAAAGGATATCAACTGAAGAATTCCTGCATCAAGTTAACTATAATAATAATAATAATAAAATAATAAATAATAAATAAAATGTAACATTGCAAAACGAACCATTTGCATTTATTTATAGTTATATCTCAAAAGTAGCTCATTCAAAAAATCTCAATTACATCTAAAATTTCAGCCTATGATGACGACCAGTGATAGCTAAAACAAAATGAAGATTAATGTGCAAAATGTATTCAATGTTGTATGAACCATATAACTACTGATGTTTTTTTTGCATTTTCATGTGAAATATAAATTTTTCAAGACTTTCAGAAATGGCACGTCTATTTGCTTGAAAATTCATGAACAAAAGAATTTACTAAAATTATTAAAACTGATTATTAAAACTGTATCTGTGAAAGGCGAATGCCGAAGCCTCGTAAACCGCAAAATGTTTTGAGACTATTAAGCTGAAAAAAATATGAACAAAAAAGTAAATTGAAAATGCTTTATAAGGCAACTGCAAAAATACATATATGTTCATGTTTACTCACTGATTTCTCTCAGCAGCAATTAATCCTTCTTCTGCGAATAGTTTCGATATTCTGGCTTCAATTCCCACATCGATTTATGAGGAGGCATTGTATTGTATACCGCTATTTCGATCAATATTTCTTTCACATATCCCTTTAAAAAATAGCATTTTTATATCCTAAATATATCAAAGGAAAAAAAATCGAGCCTGCAGTGGACCAGCAGTAGTTGGAGCAACTTGCTATTCCATGTCTCGTATTGAATAAGAGATAATTGAACAATAACGTTGAAAAAGAGATGGACAACCATTCTTTTCCTAAAAAGTTAAGAATTACTGGAGGCTGATTTGTAAGCTTCTGTAAATCAATAAGCCGGTAATATTGATGCTTTTCGAAAGCATGAAATAACATTTGACGAACAACATCTTTATCTGCTCGCACAGCTTTGGTACCTTCCTTTTTTTGCCGTTCTTTTGCAATCTGAACAAAATTTCATTAACATTATTCAGCGATGCCGAAATAATTAATGATGAAATTAATTTAAAAAATTAGCTACTTAAAGGCAATTATAAGGAAAGACGAGAAAATACACATGCTTGAACTATAAAGTATTACATAAAATATTATAGAAAATATTAATATTACATAAAATATAAAAGCTAGCTGATTTGTACAAAAATAATAAATATAAAAAACTGGTTTGGACTGATATTACATACAAAACGAGCTGTTAATCATATTTATTAAGCATACTGCTATATCTACATACTGCTTATTTGTAAGTAGTTATTAAAATATTAAGGATAAAAGTATAATTTTCATGAAAAATTTGTCACAAAAATCTGCTAGAAATCCCTTTCATTTAAATCACTTTGAAATAGGAAGAATACCATTAAGCCACTTTAAAAAAAAGCTGAAGAAATATCGCACAATTCCTCGGGAAATATCGGTTTCTATTCAATCCTAGCTTCAAAAACTCCATAATCGTGATTTAAAAATGACAGTTCATGATAGTTTCTAAATATTTTTTCAAAACTTACAAGTTCAGCGTGAGCAGCAATTGGTTTAAATTTAACTTCAGCTTTCTCGATTTGTTTAATTTGTTTTTTAGGCTGACTACTCCTTTCGATGTGGTTGCTAAAATTAAAACAAAAAATAATTAAACGAAAGAATCTAAGAGATAATAATCTTCGTTAGAAAAAAAGAGCACAAAATATTTTAGCTTAAGTATTTCAACTTACATTTTCATACGTAAATATCCTTCACTGATAGGAGGCCGACAATCAGCTTTCTTTACTACACGCCCTTCGATACTTAAACGCCCCGAACAGATATCTGCATCCTCATCAAGTCCAGTTTTATCTAAGGTTATGAAAACTATTTGGAAAATTAAATTAATAATGTAAAAAACTTTCTCAGAAACATATTTCCAGAAGAACTGAATGGTATAGGCTTAAAAAACTTTTATGAAAAAATAGAAAAAAAGAAAAAACCTTCACAGAGAACAGCCAAAGATTGGCATTTGATATCATTGATTATAAAGGAATGTTCTGCAGGTATGCCTTGAAATGATAATTTGTTTTTCATCGATGTTGCTTTGGTGGTCAATGAAGAGATTCTTGTCAAAGGAGATGATATACTGGAGGAATTATCTTAAGAATTATTATTAGTCCACAATTTACTAGCTGCTGATTGCAATTATGGGATCATATAGCACCATTCACGATAATCACAGTTGAAAAACAAAATTCTTTTATGAGCATAGAAAATGCTGAAAATTGCAATTTTTTCTCCAATTTTGAAAGTTAAAAGAAATTGAAAAATTCACACTACAAATTTTTCGTATCATCGAATATCATAAATCAGTTCTCTTATATACATAATTTAAAGCAAAATAAATAAGGCTTTTGGAACAGACGTTGGATTCTAACAGTGAAGATTCGAGTCCTTTCATAAGCCTTCTTTTATTTTTAAAAACACTGATTCAAATTTTTTTATGAAATTTGTATGCTTCAGAAATTAATTGGTGCGAGATAAAAATACAAAACTGCTCCATTTGCGATTGAATTTGCTCAAGTTAAAAATAATATTAAAAATAATGCGCAAAAGGATTCGAATCCTCAAATCGTTTGAACTTAAAAAGGAGAATAATTTCTCAAAATTTTCGATTTGCAGTTTCATTTCTTAGCCATACTAATGCATCGAAAAATCAAATCATATAAATCATATTATATAAATGCATTGAGCTATTCAGGATATTTAATAATAAAGAAATCAAGATATTTGCAATTCATTTTTGATTATGCATAGAAATGGCATATACAAGCCTTCAATGACCATAAAAAACCTTCTCGATTTTCTCTTTAAAAAACCTCGACGACTTTCTTTTTTAAAAAAGCCAGTAAATATGAGCAAAATTCATACCAATGGCTTTAGTAAATACAGGGTTACTTGTAAATGTTACGTCAGTTCTGCCATTTGATGGTTTTATAACCAATCTACCAAGATCTTGACCAGCATTTCGTTCCCAACATTCTGACAGATAGACGGGTACCTAAAATCCCATTTAACCTATAATTTATCCACCAAATTAGCTGAACAAAAAAAAAAACAATAAAAATGTCCACTGTACAAAATTGGAGACTCTAAAGTCAACTTCAAATAAACCTGCCTTATTTTATAATTTTTTTCCAATATTTATTTACTTATCATCTTTATTTATAGAGGAGCACACTATAAGGATTGGCTTTAGGTGGGACTTTAGAGAGTTGTAGAAGTGCTTATGATGTTTTCATAAAAAATCTGCTTTTTTTAAGGAATGGGATAAAGGAATCGGAATCTCTGCCAAACCAACAAATCACACAGATACAATACAATGCCTCATTTAAATATTTGGTTCACTTTTAAATGAATCTTAAAACAGAAAAGATTGAAAAAAATAAAAACCTTGACTAACCAAACACCTCTTTTAGCTAAATCGCATTCCACATTACTATTCGACCTTTTTTTAAATACGCCACTCATCATTAAGGTTTATGTCTTTATCTAAAAAAAGAAAGAATTAAAGATGGAATAAAAAAACCAAAAAACTACCCCTAACCTATTACCAATATTTAACTGATGGAAAAAAAGCCTGAATGAAATAACAGATCAGAGGCGATGCAAAGAGAAAGAATCTAGTAAAGTGATATAGCACGATTTCCATAGAGTGCTACGAGAATGTTAACTAAACCTGAAAAACCTGAAAGTATGATTTGACCGACTTTCACGACATTTTAAGGAATTAGGAGATTGGAAGCAGTAGTATGAGATTTAACAAAGTCAGTAGGAGTTTAGATAACTTCAAGCGAATAATAAAGGAATACAAAAGGATAGTTTGAGAATGTAACAAAGGAAAGAATGTAACAAGTTTTAAAGATTTCGAAAAACCACAGTAGAGTTCTAGCGCTTAATGGAAATTAAGGGAATCTTCAAAGTACTGAGATTTGAAACGGTATGTAGGTGAATGGAAGTGTATAGATAAATGTGTGCATGATTAGCATGATGCACGCACGATGCATGAATGTGCATGCATGTATACATATATATTAGGGATAAAATGAACAGCTTGCTGCTACAAACATTCAGCGCGTCGTGTTGAAAACCTTGGAAATCTACCAAACGAAACACAGTAGAACCAATTAAAATAATTATGAAATTTAGTAATGAACTATACCCGATATATGTAAAAATATAAGACAAAAAATAATTTATTCAAATAAACCATGCAATTTTGAAAGAAAAAAACAAGTAGTCCGTAGTTAAACATCAGATATTCAAAAATAACTTCCCATTTTAATTGTTTCAATTATAAAAAAATGAAATAATCGAATAATCGAATCAAATCAGTGACACATAATGATAATAGTAGACTTAATGTAGACTTAATGATGATACTTTAAAGGCAAATCAAAAATATTATCAAATATCAAAAATAGCAGTAATAAATATAAATAAATATCTAAAAAATTGCTGAATCAAAATTATAGCAACCAAAAGTTGTTCTAAAAACAGCAAACATAGTTTGCATAAGTAATGGTTAAGTAATTCTTACACTATCGAAGAAACTATTTAAAAAATTGGTCCTTTAATTTCAAAGATTAAAATTAAAGATACAAAATTACTTCGCATAAATATTCTTTCACAATATTATTTTCTTAAGAGATAGAAAAGATACCAATAATTGCAAATAAAGAGATATTAAAGCGGTTGATTAATTTTTCAAAGTGTTAAAATTAGTAAATGTTCATCTATAAATTGAATGAAAATTAATATTAATTGACCACGAGAAATATTCCATAAAGCCAAAATAACTAAAACTTCTAGCATTTATCTATTCATCTAGATTAATATAGGCCATCACCTAGTGTCGTTTAATAAAATAGTGGCAGCCACTGAAGCATCATTACCACTTCGCTGCAGCGCTTCAATTACCGTGTAGCGATTCCTAAAGCCCATATCCATTAGCTGACGAATTTGATCCTCATTTGGCATTGTTGCTTCATCTGAACAATTAAATTAAATTAAATTTGATTCATTTAATTTTTTTCAAATAGCTCGTTAAAGAAATCATTTTTATTATTTTTATTTGAATTAAAGTAACTTTATTAATAACTTTATTAATAACAATTATGTTCAAACCATTCGTATGACGTCCAAACAATCGGTTCAAAAAATTTAGCCGGCTTTCACTCGAATTCGCCTGAAATAAGAAATAATAAACAAATTAAAATTAAAAGAAATAAGAAATAAAAAAAATGAATTGCTGAAAAACATTTTATCATCCGAGAAAAGTATATAAAACAATAAATTTAACCTGCTCATCCATATGCAACTGTCGCATTTGCATAAACAACAGTCGTTTTTCATATTCATCAAAGGCTTCCATTCGCTGACGCTCTAATGTGGCAGCGACTGGCAATATTTGATTCTAATAATGTAAATTTACTTAAAGCCACTGTATAGCAATATTTATTTTTAGAATCATTTATAAAACAAAAGAAAGGAATAAAAGTTTACATTACTGGCAATTTCACCAAAATTGGTAAATTTATTTATCATCGACCCAAAAAAATTTGAATTGGAAGTGAGAAAACACGAAAGTGGCGGTGGAATAAAATCTACTGTATCCATTGACAATAATTTATTTCTATACAGGAGCGAGACAAAAACACCAGAAAATACGACGATTAGCGAAGACAAATTAAAATTAAACATCTGAAAAAAGAAATAAAAGTCAAAGAAAAAATACATGTGAAAAGGTTATATAGACGGGTCAAACAATTTTCATAACTTTAGCATATTTCCTTGATATTTGCTCAAAATTAATCCTCTCAACACTTCTTAAACTCCTGATGAATTATTTTGATACTTTTCGGGTTCCTATAACTCCCCATTAATACCTTCAAATTCCCTATATTCCTTAGCAATCCTCTGTCCTCTTGTATCCTCTATCCTATTCAATCTTTTCATTTACAACTTATAAATTCTTCGAATTTTACTGAATATTTAAAATATGCTGAATTTAGAAGGATTAAATTATAAAAAGATTTAAATAATAGCAAATAAACATGGGGGAGTTCTATGTAGAAATTTTAAGGGTTTTAAAAAAATGGGGGTGTTTGGTTGGGTTTAGAAAAGTTTTTTTACAGTAAACAAGATATTAACAGATTATAATTAAGATTGAGATACTGCGAGGCTTTAAGAACGTGATTTCATAAGAATGGCAAAGAATTAAGGAACGTAATTGCTGGGCTTCAAAAGAATATAGCATTCAAGAATATAGCAAAGAAATATAGCAAGGCTTAATGGAATGTTGAAGAGGACTAAAGATATTTTCGAGACATGGGGTGCTGCAACAAATTCTGAGAGAAACTTGACTGATGGTATATAAGAAATTAAAAATACATATGAATTCATGGCTAATGTTACTATAATAGGCTATGGAAGAGATGTTTGATAGCGCAAAATGTACAAGAGTTTTAGAGAACTCACGAGAAATAAAAGGCTCCAGGAAGATGCTATCGAAGAACATTTATTTGAACGTACATTTGAACGATTATTTGGGGTATAAAAGGATATTATTAACAAGTTAAAGATAGAATTTTGGTGTTGGAGGATGGAAAAACAGGAGAGAATGACAGGATTTAAGAGGAAAAAGAAATTAATTAACGAGAACTATGAAAAATTTTGGAAAAATGTGGGTGGAAATAGATGAGTTTTCTAGAGTTTTTTCCAGAGAAACGGGCTATCACTAATACCAATATAGCCAATATAGTTAATATTTTAATATAATAATTCTTGAACACCCCAAAATTTCTAAAAAAGAATTGCATATAAAATAAGATAAAATCAAAATGCAACCAACTAACTTGTAAGAAAGCGAAAAATGGCAAATTATGAATCGATAAAGAAATTCCAAAAATACTGACGAATGGTACAATAGGGAATTCACGGATGAAATTGATATAAAGAGAAATAAGTAAAGCTGAAGGTCCGCATGGGAAAAAAATTTGACTCGAATCATAATTAATATATGACAGAAAACAAAAAACAATTAATTCGCTGATTATTGACAAAAAAAAATTGATAACCAAAAAGTTCTGAAACAATATTTATATGTATATATTCGGACAGATAGAGAAAAAATATATAAAAGTTACTCTTCTCCTTCTGAAGATCTGTAGAAGCAAGAAAGACACCAGTCTCATCTGATTTTATGAAATATTATTCAGATTTCTAAATATATTCACCATTTTTTTCAAATACTATGATCTCTATGAAGAATCAAGAAATTTCCTCTGCATCAATTATAGACGAATTTCCGCTAACATGATTAACTAAATATTTTCATCAATGCGTCTGGAAAAAGAATTATAAAGAAATTGTAAAATTCCAACCAAAAATTTTTTTGAACCAAAACGCCTTTCGATCCATCTCGAATAATATATTAAAATTAAAGCAGTAATGAGTGAAGATGGATTTTGATAAAATAATTTCAAAATAAACAATTTACCAATCTAAAACGATAGATTAATTTTAATAAATATTTAAATATTAAAATAAAAAATACTTTGCAAAAAATATTACACATCCCAATTCCTTTATATATCTTATATTTCTAAAAGCAATCATCATTACTGGTTAGGTCATTCCGCTGGCTTTGTGGACCAGACAAATTTTTCCACGGAGTTACTTGGCGACAGAAGTGCAGATGAGTTGCCAGCAACACCAGGATTTTTGAATTATAAATATTTATTTTTGCTGTGAGCAGAATCCCAGCATTGGCGCTCCGAAATAATCATAAAAAATAGATTCCATTCTCAATAGATTCCTCGATGAAAAATTGCAAATCATTGAAATCAGCCAAGAGAGAAGTGGTAAATGCTTTTAAAACAGCTTTTATAAAGTAAAGAACTTCTAAAGAAAAAGAATCTTAGAAGTTTCTTTTTGCTGAAAGTATTTTATTTAATTTTTCCTTTCATCACTGTGTTTCGATTCGCACCATTGGCCTAATGAAGTTGTCAAGGAATCATTTGGCAATCAAGCATATAGGTGAGACGCCAGCATCACTCTCTTTCACTCTCTTGCCGAAGTGCAAAATCCTAGCATCGACGCTTCTCAGCAAAAATCCACTAAGCTATTCAATCACAAGCCCGCTAAGCCACCATTCTACTCCTTTCTTTACAAATTGTGTTAAAAATTATTTTTATTTCTGAAATATTTACAAAAAAAAAAAATAAAATTGCCATTTGTTTAATAAAATAAATATTTATATTATTATATGAATATTAAAAAACCTTTGAAAAATGTAAAATATCACGTAATGATAGTGAAATAAATTCTTCATTCACCACACTTAAGTAGATTCGTATAACAGAACCTGACAATAAAAAATATGTCCTGAAAATAATATTTATTTAGCAATCATTTTATTTTTATCTATTAACAATTGGATTTCTATGTAATAAAAAAGAGTTACGTTGTTATATTACTATGTTATAATAGTGTATTATATAATAGTTATAATAATAATAATCATATTTTCAAATACTTATAATAAACTATTATTAATTATACTTAATATATTAAATATTAAAATATTAAAAATATACTTAATATTATAAAATTATTATAATAATATTATTATACTATTATAAATATTATAAATATTACCATAAATATTATTAAAAATAAATAATATTAATAAGAAATTAGAAAAAAATTAGGAAAATTAACTTATTACCTAAATTTAATTTTTGTTTTTTTTAGTTTAGTTTTTTTTTTAAACTATCGCCCTCAAAACCAATAATCTATTAGGCAAATTTATTAGTTAATAGATTTCTCTCGATATTCCAATTATTAAAGTTCATTAACTTCCTATCATAAAGTTTAAGAAATATCTACAACAAAATTGTCGTTTTATTTTTATAGAAAAATACGCGAGTTTTATCCTGAATTGACCAAGACCAAGCATTATTGGTTCGACATTTCTTAAAATTGTCAATTAATCCCGAAAAACCTCATGTGGTGTATGGCATTTGTATTTCCATTCTTAATAGATTCCTCGATGAAAAATTGCAAATCATTGAAATCAGCCAAGAGAAAAGTGGTGAATGCTTTTAAAAGAGCTTTTATAAAGTAAAGAACTTCTTAGAAGTTTCTTTTTGCTGAAAGTATTTTATTTAATTTTTCCTTCATCACTGTTTTTCGATTCGCACCACTGGCCTAATGAAGAAGTTCTGTCAAGGAATCATTTGGCAACCAGGCATGCAGGTGAGTGGCCAGCGTCACTCTCTCTCACTCTCTTGCCGAAGTGCAGAATCCTAGCATCGACGCTCCCCAGCAAAAATCCACTAAGCTATTCAAACACATAAATCTTGCTAGTAATCGTTTAAAACGATAAGTAAAAATTTTAAAATTCAAAAAAAATTCTTTAAAAATTAAACGACAATGTACGAACCAAGCCTTCGAAATTGGGGCATATAAAAATAACGACTGATTCTGCATTTGGTACATTCCTCGTTGCAATCGAATCATTTCCTTTTCTTCAATCTGAAAATCTCAAAATGTACGAATTTCCAATAAACTTATTTACCTATTTCATAAAAAAAAATTTGTTAGTTAATTGTAAAGCCGAAGTTGGATCGTAAACTTTCTACTTTTTTTATATTTATAGAGCGTTTCTAAAAGAACCACAGAATCACCAAAAGGAGAGGGCATTACCATCCGATACGAGGAAAATATACAAGCCGATTGCATCACTCGCCCAACAACGTTGGATAAAATATCGGATGGTCTGCAAAATAGCATTTATGCAGCTCCAGCGCCTCTAAATTGCAGTTTCAGCTGTTGTAGCTGTTTCTCGGACTGATGGAAAAAGTGGATTTTGTATTATTTGTTTGTATTATTTGTTTGCTTCGCAGTTTGGATTTATGTTGGGGCGTTTTGCTAATTGGCCAAGAAAATCTTGACCTTAGAACTGGAAAAGTTCCTGAACTCTACCATAGGGCAGTTAGTTTAATAGCATAGTAGTCTCGAAAAGACTGTCGGAGGTACTTTTAAGAAGGTATTGTCGTAGCAAAGTTGTAGTATTTTAACCATATACCTTGCACTTTGGCCACATGTCTTGACTTTTTTTAAAAACCTTTCCCTAACACCATTTTCAATGCAGCAAGTCTTTGTCAATCTTCTAGCGAAGATGACTGCTAGAAATAAGCGATCGAAGGTAGGTAATAAGGTTCTCAGAGGTCTTGTGTTAAGCAGCCATAAATATTACGCGCATTGTTTCATTTTGGTGTTGATTTCATGGCGGTTTCATGCATCTATCATTGAGGCCGGGATTTCTCTGGTAGGTACTTAGAATGAACCCATTAAAAAATTATTGTATAGATAACATCAATTTTTATCATTTTTAATTTTATTTCTACTGTTTCCTGGTTGGTTTTTTATTTCGTCTAACCACACTTCCCACCATTTCTAACTGGCTAACTTCAAGAAGGCCACTAGTTTAAGATGAGCTTTTTTTGGCCAAAGGGTGAGAATAGAGCGCGCGCATTTTCTGAACTACGCGGTTTTCACTTTTGACCTCACTGGTTAAATCTTTAACTTCATTCGGTGCAAATGTACCTCTTGGTCACACCCTGTCAAACATATTTAATAAACGATTTAAAAGTCAACAATATTATATTTCTTATTTGAAGGGCAATTATTCCTTAATTTCAAATATCGTTATATTTTGACGTGGTTTACGAGCGGTCGGTATGGGCCATGATTATAAAAAATATAAGAAAATGGCGATATGGAAGTAAACGCTACGCTAACAATATTCTCGTAAATCCGAACTCGTAGTTATTAGACTCATCATTGGATTTAATTCATAGTTTTTTGTTTGTTAATATATTAAGAAAAAATTGCACATCTGGGTAGAGCATTTCTGTATAACAGTTTAAATGGGCGTTAGGCGAAATATGAAGAGGTTCGACATGGTCTGAGATAGTGTGGGATGGGGGTAAGAGAATATTAAACAAGTTTAAGCAAGATTTTACTATTTTCAGACATTCTTTGCCATACATACACATGCATATTATTTTAAAAATTACTTTAATTTACCAAGATTCTATCTTTTTCTTTAGCAATTACACCATTATTGATTGGTCTGGATGCATGGCTTACAACGGTAAGCCGTTTACGAGCCTCTCGGTCTGATGCTCTACCCGAAAGGGAACATTTCCACCGTCTTAAGCCTATATCGCTGGTATGCCCATAAGTTCAAATCCTTTCTGAGTGTCACATTAAAAATAACTTATCATACTCACTTTTCTTTATGTATTTGGTCGCAGATTCATGAATTTTCCTTGACCTTAAAATTGTAAACTCAAGTTTAGGTAAAATTTATTTATTGCAAAGTATCTATGGCTTATTATGTTAATATATTTTTTGTGGAAAATAATGTCATCTGGTGAGAGTTCTTCCGAATCAGAAACATTCGAAGTTCGTCCATTACCACCGGATTATATTGGCTCGTTGTCGAGTTCTGAATCAGATGACGATTTTGATCGTAATTCATCCACTTCTGAACCAAATCGAAGTCAGCCGTTTACGAATTGCTCCCATTTGCATATGGTAAGTAAAAATAAATTTTACTAGCTAACTAGCTAATATGTAAAATCTACCATTAAAATTATGTGAAGTTATTTTTTATTTTTTGGCTATTCCTTATGTATCTTCTCCAAACACCTGTAACTGTTATTTGTTAGGCTGGCTACAAGGATAAGGCATCTTCAAGCTGTTCCCACGCCATTGTCGACATTAATAGAAGCCATTCCTTTTTCCATCGTCTGAGACCATATATATCGCGGTCCACCTGTACGATCAAATTCACTGTGTCAGTCCAGGTTTTGATTGGGCCACCTCGCTTTTGACGCCATCTATCACAAGATTAAGCAAATAGGGAAATATGTGTCAATTCCTGTGGTAAACGATGAAGAACGCGTACCTTAACTAGCGAAGATGACGTTTTGTGATGGTAGTGCAAGTGGTATTTGAGCCAAGAGCCAGTGATGAAGTCATTTGAGATTTTATCTGGATCAAAATACATCTTAGACATGAGTGGTCAAAGGGAAAAAACTTCCTAATATCTTCCACTCTCATCACTTGTATCTTGCAACTATATAGACTTCTGTAATTTCGCGACGAGTCCATAAAGGTTTTATCAACTGGAAAAAAGCATCTCTAGCTATCATTATCCGTGTTATAATTTCGGCTTTCACTTGGCCATTTGAGGTTAAAATGATTCCGAGGTATTGAAAATCTGGCATTTCCTCAACCGGCAATGATAAAAATAGGTATTTATCATATTTTAATTTCTCATATAAGGCAAAAAGGCTTTCGTTTTGATTATATCGATCCTGAGTTCACGCTGCAATTATCGACACATTGTTTAGCATTATTTGCATTTCATCGTAATTGTCAACAAGAAGTACATCATCAACGTTCAAGGTCTATGATACTATGCTTTGGACTGATTTCTATCTCTTGAGTGCCGATAAGCGATGTTCATTATCCAGTTTATCAATGAATATTGTAAAGGAAAGGGCGCAGCCTTCTTATTTCGAAAAGGTCTACTAGTTCTACTACTTATGCTAAAATGCCTTTATAAGTGGTCTTCTCTGGAACCACCACATTCCATCAAAAAGCTGCTTTATCAATTGAATCGAAATTGATGAAATTGATGACCGTGAGTTACAGATATTCAAAGGGATGTTCCAGCACCCTTCTTAGCGTGAATATCTGGCCAACACAACTGCACGTCGTTCTAAATCCGGTTTATTTAGGGCAATATTTTCTTGTCTCTTCTTTACCGGGATGCCATTGCTATCCCGTACCATTTCACTGATCATTGCTCGAATTACAGTAGCTTTATGATGAAAGCGGAATGGTTTTCTATTATCGCCTAATCAAGCCGCCGCCTCCATTCTCAGGGCCATATTGCTCCAATAACTATTTCTGTTCTACCATGCTGCTATTGTCGCAATTCTCCGAAACAATACTTTCAGATAGTTGTATAGCTGCTTCCAATACATTTTAATCTTGGTTCAAACCATAGCATAGTGTGATCCATGAAAATTATCAGTTTCAGTCCGCTGATAGGAACTTCGGAACTTTTCCAACGACGACTAACTAAGATGTAATCAATCTGCTTGTAATATGTTGGTTGTCCAGAGAGTTCCACCTGTTTAGATGTCTTTTCCGATGCCGAAATCATGTAATAAAAAATTCATGCTGTTCGGCAAAGCGCCATATTTTCTAATTGCCGAGTTCATCACAACGGCAATCTACCTATGCTCGCATTCTAGTCCCCCTCCTCCTCCTACCCCAATTATGGCCATGTAACTTTCCGGTAGATATTGTTGTTAGCAGTTACAGTTCTGGGCCTTTTTAGAACTTTTCCTTCATGTACATATTAAATCGGAGCATATATACAGATGACCCAGATATTGCAGAACTTGACTTTAAAGCGAGTAATAGACCACACGGTTGCTTGCTGGTTTTCACTTAACAATCGCTACGCCATTTTGCTCCTAGTTATCCGAAATGCCACAGTGGTGTAGCCAGTACCTCTGCCAGGAACCAGGTTTAATTGCAGACCTAAAATGCGGAAGATGGATCTCCAATAAATAGGCGATATCCACACGATATTTGTAAGAATGTAGACATTGATCGTTTGGAACGTCCATAAGTTCTGATTTCCAGGATGCTGTGGCTAACATGTGTTTTTCTCTCTTGTGTTGTTTCTCTATACAGGTTTCGAGCAAATATCCTGGCTTGTGAGCAGATTAATTCTCAGGCGATCTTTTTGAGATTGTTTCACTGTGGATTGCACACTTGTCTTATTTACCAACGGGCTGGGAGTATCATAGGCATCGCATTGTGAAGAACTGACCCTTTCACCACAAAGTCACTTAAAGATGTAATTACAGGATCCCAACAACTATTCTTTATTATCGTGACAGATTTAATTCTTCCAAAGACAAGAAAAGGAAAAAAATTTAAAGGATGATAAATAAACTAGAAAATAAAAATGTCTACAAACAGTATACAGTAAAATTAATACTTATTGCTTATATATGGTAAAGATAATTAATTATAAGATAATTAATTATAAATATAATAAAGATAAACTATTATAATTAATTATAATTATATGTAGTAAAGATAGTTAATTAAGTGAATATAATGATAATGGTATAAATAATTATAATAATTTTTTTGCAATTTTTTTATGGATTCGTTTGGGACTTGTGAATATGCATTTGCTAAAATAAGATTTATTATTATAATAAGATTTATTATACTTAATGTATTTAATAAACTTATTATTTCGTGAATTCAAAGGTGATAGTAATAACTTAGCCGTTAGATTCCGCTAAGGGTGATCATCTTAAATTCAATTTTAGTCCTTTGGTTGCTAAAAATCTGAAAAAATTATTTCGGATGATTGTTTCGGATGAGAACTTGTATCTATTCTCTATTTATGGGCAGTGCATCCTGCTAATTCAGGAATTGTTTGTGGTGAGCTATATAAATATATAAATTATTTATATTGGTGTTTTAGGTGTGCCAGGTACCATCAGGGGCATTTGATTCTTTCGGTCCTTGTGCAGTTTGTTCAAGATCTGCGGAAAACTGGATATGCATAACGTGTTATATTGTAATTATTTTATACATTTTTTGCTTATATTTTATTAGCAAAAGCTATTTTTGTCGGAAATTTCGAAAAATGTTGTTATTTTTCATATTTTATTTTTCAAAAATTATTCTTATTATAAATTTTTTCTCCAAAAATTTATTCAAAATTTTTTTTTCAGATCAACTGCAGCAATAATGTCCTAAATCATGCATTTACTCATTTTTGTCATACAAATCATCCTTTAGCACTCGATTTACGAAATATACGTGTGTGGTGTTTCTATTGTCGCGAATTTATCAAAAATAGTGCTGTACTTACAATGAAACGTATTGCAAATTTATCGAGATATGGTGAAGATTTAAGTCAAGAACTTATTGATGATGAAAGTACGATAAATGCTTCATTAATTTAGCAGTTCACAATTCAGATAAGTGTTAAAATTTCTATCTACATGACAAGTATTTTATTTATTAATTACCTAGTGATATGTTGTTAATATTAGTACAGACCTTATTTCGTTGATTTATTATGTACTTAGTAGTTGGTGGTGATTTTTTAAATTTTTGTGGATATGAATCTAAATTTATTAATTATTTCCCTGGATGTATTTGATATATGATATATGGATATATTTTTAAAATCAAATCTGATCTGATATTTGAATTAATTATTTGATTAAATATCAAAATTCCTTATAAATATTACTTATAACCTAAAGATAATCTGTCGTTCCAAAAGAAATTTTGAAACAGTTTGATATGCCAATATTCATTTTCAAGAATTTTTTGTGTTTATGGTTTATAAGATTTTTAATTAATCAAATAATTATCGAATTAGTTCATTTATTTTTAATTATCCATTTTCTACTTAGTTTTATTTGATAATTCTTAATTTATTATTGTATTTAATTTGTAAATTTTTTTTTTTTTGTAAATTAAATTTGTTATTGTAGATTATTGAAATAGCATTGATTTTATAAAAATCTTTTTTACAAATATTTATCTCATACTTATCAATTTTATCAATAATCTACAACCGTTACATCGCTAAAATTAAATTTTTTTTTCATAATTGTTATATTTTAATTTTTAATTGCTATTGTTTTAAATGGAAATTTCTGAAAATATTTCAAAAAATGCTCGATATTTTTTGCCCCATATTGGGCAATAAACACATATTTTTCATAATGATAATATATTTTTGATAATGATAAGTATTTTTAAATTTTTAAAATATTAGGCAATAAAAAATTAAATATTGTATTTTTAAATGTTTAACGACAAATAAATAATTTTAATTAATGGATGGCAAAATATTTTTACTGAACAATAAATATAACATTTTAAAGTGATAGGCCAATTTTTATAAATATTTGGCAAATGTTTATTCACCATATCTATAAATATTTTTAATGAAAGATTTTGGGTAGAATGTGTAGTGTTGTATGTGTAGTGTAGTGCTTACTGTTCTCATTTTCAAACAGTGGTGCCTGGAGCTCCACAGGCAGAAATAAACCTTTTTTCAAAAAGATGTAAGTAATACCAGTCATTGTCCTGCATTTTTATCGTCAAGTGACTCCCTAACAAAATTCGTCTGGTAAGGAGCAATTCCGATTAGAAATAGCGGATTCTCTTAGAAAAATAAATATAAAAATAAATTAGCGATATAAATACGATATAAAAATTGAAATATAAAAATTGAAATTACTGTGAAATGATTTTCTTTGAGAAATATAACAGATATTTTTTTTATATTGACAAAAGAAATTTTGCGATATGAAACTGAATAAAGAAGGAATGAATGGGAAAATACGAAAAAAATCGGAAATATGGGAAAGAATGTCGCAAGTCATTTTGTCAGTCATCTTCATTCCGATTTTAGTATTTGTGTAAAACAGAATGTTATAATTATCCTATAATTACTGACTAGGCTTCCTCCGCTGGTGGTGGATTGTCAGATTAGGCAAATTTTTTGAGTTGGGGATACAATGGCTCAGTGGGTTGTTGTTCAGTTTGGAGCGCTGATGCTGAGCTTCGATTATCTATAAAGGTAAACCTGTATAAAAATCCGGATGATGCTGGCGACTCACCTGTATTTTTATCACCAATGGACTCATTGGGATATCGCCCAATACGACAAGCCAGTGGAGCAAATTTAACCAGTAATGGTGAGGACTCCTAAAAAAAAAATTCTTTTGAGTTAACCACTTGGTGGTGAAATTGCAAGTGATTGCCCAGCATCTTCCAGATCCATCTACATCCATCATTGGGCAAAGAAAAATCGCTAGCTAACTCATACTCATACATAAAAATATTCCTGCTATAAACATATCGTAAGCCTTTGGCAAACAAACGTACAGACTGTTTTTCAAATTTATCGAGGGGTCGATCGAGAACTACCAAAATTGAAAAAAGGCCTCAATTAACTAATTACTAATGAACTAATTTATTCAGTTGACTAAATTTTAAATTTCATATTTATAGGAAATCGGAAGAGGATTTAAATAAAACCAATTTAACAAATTTTAAGATTTTTGAACACTTATTTTCAAATTTATATAATTTTTGATCAATTTGTTCGTTTGAGACAAGAATTTATGACAATAAAATTTTGAGGTTTTTATGGATTTCGTGCACTTCCGCATCACAGTGGCATAAATGGCATAAATCCTGAAGTTCCGCAAGACCACAGCAGTCAATTGATATCATCCAGCATTCAAAAATGATCAGCAAGGGGATAAGTGATAAAGGTGGATCAACCGATAAAGAATGATTAAATGATAAGGAAAGATTCAAATAAAAAAATGAAAAATAAGTTTCAAGTTGCAGAAAGCCAGTGGATGAAAATAAAATTTTTTAGCGCTGCCATAAAGCTATATCCATGTAAATAATCGGCATCATGAAAATGAGATTAGCAAGAGAAACAAGGCACGTTGTTAAATTTTATAAATGGCTATAGGCTGTGGGATATTGCGACACCGATTGGTATTCATAGAATCTGAATTTAGTTGAAATTTCGAAGTAATTATTATCTATTGTGTACGGGTTCACGACACTTTTTTTGGTGTCTAATCAAGCATATCCTATTTCCCTCATTAAAAATTGTAAATTATAAATGATATTTCTATTTAAATGAATCGAATTGAACTTATTTGGGACGATAAAGTAATGCTCAACCGATCATTACAAATTATTACAAATTGGCTATATTGCACTTGTAAAAAAAGTGGTTCTGAATCGTTTAAATTCGTCAACTATAGCACCCACGATTTGGTTTACCAGTATTTCACCAGCAGATGAGGCCTCATTTAATATAAAATGTTCCTAGTATTTTCATCTTTTGTTAAATAATCATTTATTTAAATTATTGTAAATATCCTATTTGTTATAATTAGACTGATATTATTTCCAGAATTGCAGGAATATTTACAGAGATGTCAGAAATATAAATATAACGTCAAATTTGGGAAAATTTTTAGGTGAAAAATTATATTTTTTTAATGGTTGTTTGGCAGTTCGCTTTGATCATTATTAATATCATATGATAAATAAAATTTCTTTTATCTTATGTTATCTCTTCCATTATCTCGAATTTTTTACCTTTTTTGAGAATATTCTTTACGTTTTTTTTTGTTAATCGGAAATTGTCATAAAAAAATATTATTTTTATTTATGAACCTCAATGACACTCCTTACATGACCAATTTCGTTCAATACATAAATTTGCATGAAGACAGGAGAGTTTGCATATACTCAGTGTATATGTGATAGGGAAGAACTAAATTATATATGCTCACCATTACATCGTTCCACTGGTTATCAGATGGAAAGTTTTTTGCCAAGTGGTCTTGTGAACAAAAATATGGCTGATCCACAGCACAAACCAGATTTTATTAATAATTGGATTATTCTTGCCAGAGCTATGGTTTGAATCCTAAGCTTCAATACTGTAATGTGAGCAACAATCGTTCGATTATTCTGTTATCAATATAAATAAATGGAAAATTATCTTTGCTCAACAATTGACTGATTCTTTTGCAAATATTTTTTAATTGCTATTTAGTTCTTCTAATAAATATTAAAAAATATCTGAAAAATTTCCGTATGAAAGAGATAATTGATGAAGAAAATAAAGAAGAAATTTAAAAAAAGTTTTAAATTATGGCGACGAATATAAATTCCCTATTTTGCAAAAAAAAAGAATAAAATTATTTTTTTTTAAGATAATAAAAGCTATTACAATTCAAATTTTAAGGAAATTGTTTTTAAAATTACATTTAATTTTCGTTAATCTAAAATCCTTTCTTAATATATCATCGATAATCCTCAAAAACTTTTCCAGTTGAATTGTATCTTTACCAGCTGAATAGAATTGCATCGAATGAATTCATATATTTGTATAATTAGTTTGATATTCGTGCAGTTATGCTTAGTTTTTACGGCTTTTCAAGGTTCGTTTTCTTTAACTTTTATGCATTTATTTGTTAGTTGTCGCCAGGGCTCAGGGGCACAAGTGCTTGGCCAGTTAGGTATTTGCCTAAAGGCACTTGCTTTGTGGTTCTCGGACGATAAACTGCCGAGATACAATGAAGTGACTCTATAACCTTAATCAATCCTTTTTTCATTTTTCAAAATACAGTTTTTTTATATCTTTTTTTTTAAATTTTTTTAAAGATTACAAATAAAATCAAAGGGAATAACATGAGCTTTTTTTCTTGATAGAAAAAGATTATGAGGTTCCACATGGGCTTAAAGTTGTGTAAATTGGTCTTGGAGAGGAAGGAGAGGTCTGAGGCAATCTTGATTTCCGTTGTTTTTTTTTTTAAGACCATTACTGGTTTATCACACTAGAAAATATACCAAAGAGCTCTTTGGCGATAAAAGTACACTTGCGGCCAGCATCACCTGGATTTTTGGACAGGATTTTTGTTTTCTCCTGATTGGAGTAGCAACGGCGTTCCGAATTGAGGAACTACTTACCGTGCCATTTAACTCTCCATGTAATTTTCTCCGTTAGGCGACATTGCTGCACTACGAAGAGTGATGTGCCAGCTGGTTCAAACCGAAGTTTCGATTCTCGGTGACAATTATCTTGCAACTGATTACCGTTGTTTAAGAAAACTTTATGCATTTCATGAAATTATTTTTCTTTATTCAAAAAAAAGATGTTATAGAATTTTGAAAGTTGATTCATTATAATCTTTATAGTCGACGACTTTTTATCGGAAAATTTGAAGAATTTTAACGAGAGAATCTATGAATTGGATCTTGAAAAGCTCCAAACATTTTGGCACATGGGAATGATTAGAGGATTTCTAAAGGTGAAATTTAAATTCAATCCATAAAAAAATACTTTTAAAAAGCAAATTTTAAATGGAAATTATATTATTGCAGTTTGTGGAATATTTTATATTTTATATTGTTTTATATTGTTAAATAAATAAAATTAGTGGAAATACTTTTAAAAAATCTTTGCATGGAGAATTCTGGATCAATGATAATCAGCGCGATTTCATAATTTCTGATCAATTTCAAAAAATTGCAGCGATAGATTTATTGCATTTATTGTATTTTTGCAAGATTAACGAGTAATCTAAGCTCAAACTGGTGATTAAGAAGCATTTTGAAACGTTCTCATGAGGGTCCAATGCATTATTTCAATTCCTAACGCTACTATTAAAAGTGCAGTTTGGTTATTTCATTTGTAGCTCTAATTTCACATCGACAGAATAGATAAGTGAAAGTGAAATAATTGTTGCATGGATAATCGTTTGAGATTTGAGATCCAATCTTCTATCAGCAGTAAATGAGTCAAAAAAGCTGCTAAGCTAGCATCTTTATTTACCTATATTTCTGTTGACATATAAAACTAAAAAACTAAAAAATGTACCAGAGGGGCAAGCTTAACCAGAAATGGTGAGAACTAACAGATTTAATCTCCACTTTTTCAAATTACCCTCCATTCTCAGCGTACTCGCAGGCCAAACGGCTTTAACCTGGTGTTTAGTATATTCACTGGCGAAGTTTCTAAACTTAAGTTATTTAAAAAAGATTCAGAGGTAAAATTTGTTGTGCCTAACCTAGCATTTCAGTGATTCACCAGATTTTTGCATCTCAAATTTGCTTAAATTCGCAAAAATTCACGAAAATTTTTAAAAGAAAAATGGTCAAATGACTATCAAATTTGAAAAAATTGTAAAAAGAAATAAATCTTAGAAAAAATTCTTTCAAAAAATGAATAATAAATGTAATTAAGAAAGTCAAGAAATTTTCTGGATTTTACAAAAGCCATTAATAAATGGTTCAAAAAAATTTTTTTTACAATTTAATAACAATTAATAATAACAAAAACAATAACATTTTTAATAACAATTTTAGGCAAAAGGACGTTCGTTATGTGCGAAATTATTAAAAATTGATTGCATTATTTATATAAATTGCGAGAAAGATGCTCGATCTGTCGTACAGTTATCACGATGTGTCGTTGGCTTAATGGATGCAAAAAATCGCTATAAATTGTCTGTGACGGAAAAGAAAGCGAAAGCTAACCAGAAAGGTTCTTCATGGAAAGAGATTTGAGTTAACGGCCCGGGGCTAGGATGTTCAGTGGGTTGTCGCCCTTGTTTCGAAACGTCCACGGAGTGGTTCTATTGAGTCGCTTTTAAAATTCGACATTGGCAATTCATCTGCAATTCATTCCATGGGAAAAATTTCTAAGCGATTAACCGCTCTCATCCAAAGCAAAACCACTAGTTATGATAACTAACCTGACTTGACTAAAGTGTTAGCGAGCTTGCCAGTTAAGGAAATACTATTTGTTAAATTTGTTTAATTATTAATTATGTAAGTATATTGCAGCCGGAGATAAGTCATCTTTATCTTCTATTATTCCTGGATATAATTATATAAATAAAAGTGTCAAAACTCTTTTATGGGAACTTGAGAGATTATTTTCAATACGAAAAATCGATCGTAAAAATAATGGAAATAATGGAAAAATCGATGCAATTAAGTCAAAATTATCAAAGCAGAAATCTTCAAATTATTTATCAAATCGGTGGTCAAAAATGAATTTGCGGAAATTTCTTAGTGAAAAGATGGCCATATCGGATAAAAAGATTAAACCAACGAATTTTGGTCGATATCGTGATTCTCGCGATATAAATCATCTGAAAAACATATCGCAGCTGAACCGAAGGGTTATCAGTTTCAGCTAGCAACTTATAAAATCGTTTAAATCGCTCCCCGAATGCTTCTCATGAAAATTTATTGACATTACAATTTATCTTATTTGCTATTATTATAGTTATTTTTGCTATTAATATTAGTTCATAATAGTTTATTATCATAAATTAAATATTTTTATTATTACAAAATTAATTATCAAAATTTAGTGGCCTTTACCACCATTTTATCGTAAAGAACGGATGAGCAGCAGATTTCACAAAAATGAGCACTGGAAATATATGTCAAAGTTTATGTGCCGGCGGATATCTCAAAAACATCATAAACGGTTAATGTTATGGTTAAATTATTTTAGACTTAATAAATTCCTCAATAAAATATTTTATAGAACAAATCGATTAAGCATATCAAATCCATTAAATCAATTGCGTTGCAATTTAAGAATGAAACGCTCTGTCTGGCAAACTTTTCGAAAAGGTTTCATTTATGTGCACAGTATATATTATTAGTAACAAGACCAAGCCTATAAAAGATCAAAAAATGTTCCATTAACTGCGGGGCTAGCAGCAAACCTCAGCTTTAAGCCCAAATAACCATAGCAAGAAAAACGGTGATGCAAATATTGCAAATAAGCCATAATCCGTAAGCGTGCAGGTTAAATCAAAGATTTCTGTAAGTGATAAAAAAAAGGCATTAGGTGAGCATAATGATATTTGATAAAAGATATAGTAGTGCAATTTGAGAACGTAGTGATTACGAATAGGAAAAGCCGTTGTTAAGAAGAGACTAGCGGAATAGGGAATGGGAAACGGAGGATATCTACCAAGTAATTTGTTCCACTGAGACGATCATTCGTTAGTCGTTTATAGGAATTCGTTTGAGGAAAAAATATCGAGAAAAGTTGAGATCTTCAGTTGTTGATCATTTTTAAAAATATAAAAAATTTTCAATGAAATTCTGTTTTTATAAAGTTGAAATAGACGACGTCGCTGCAAATAAGCGATATTCGCGGTCGATAAACCTCCATAAACTAGAAAAAATTCAGAAATATTTCTCGAAAGTCAAAAAGATTAACGAATATATAACAAGAATGAACGACGCGAATTCAAGGTTTTGTCTTTCTTTTTACATTCTTCATCTTTTAAGAACATATTATTGCTTTGCACATTTCCATTGGCCACTAAGAAGTTCTCGTAAGGTCTCGTTAGAACCATTTGGAAATAGATGGCTCAGTGGCGCTACTCGGAGCTGACTTTTGATAATAGGGCTTAATAGGGACAAAAATTTTAGTTTTAAAAAAATCTCAAAATTTTCCAATCTTGAGCTGTTTTCTATTCTATTATTATTTTTTTACGCTTTTTTTCGAAATATTTTTGAATTTCTATAAACTAAGAGCTAAATTTTTTTTTCTAAATTTAAAAAACAAAGATCAAAAGAACTGCTTATTACTAAATCAATTTCAATTTTATTCATTTATCAATTTTATTCATTTAAATTTATTATAATATAAAATTATTAGAATATATCATGTATTTACTCGCAAAATCGAAATAATATTATAGGATAATTATGTACGTCCTTGACAAGAGTTGTCATATCAAAAATCCGGGTGGTTGCTAGAGACCTACCTATCCTCAAGTGATAGGGTCAGATATACGGCCCAGCCTCCCAGCCCGGTGGTATATGCGATAAATATAATCCGGGCGCAAAGTAATGGCTGATAAATAAAATGTGCTCGCAAGCTAATTGCTCGAAACCTATTAAGAGGAACAGCCGTCTACACGCGCGATGAAGTGTCAGTTAGCAGTACCAGCGTAGGACGTCGGAACGCTAATGGATGTTGCAAGCCAAGCGATCAGTGTCCACACCCTTTCTAAATATGGTGTGGATATCGCTTGCTTATCCGTCTTCCTCATTTCGGGTCTCGAGTAATTACTAATCCTGGTTTGGAGCAGAGATACTAATTATATCACTGTGGTGCTTCGAGCCGAAATGAGTTATCGAGGATCGCCTTGCTAAATATCTCCAAAAAATTTTTTGCTTACCAAACTGGATTCAGACATGGGCAGTTTTGTGTTTAGCAAATATTCATGTTATGAAGGGTATTGGAACATCGTTTCAGATAATTGCAACCCACTACGCTTTCTATCAACTTTGCGGCTGCCTTTGATTCAATTGATAGAGTGGTGCTTTGGAGGCTGATGGAATGCGACGATGTTCGAGAGAAGATCATTCGACTCATAAAAGTATTTTACGGGTGTACGTTGACGCAGGTCTATATGAAGAACTGACAGACTCTTTTTTCTAAATAAGAACTAGTATCTGTCAAGGCTGTCCTTTCTCCTACAATACTCAACTATGCTATAGACTGGATAATGGATATCGCTTGTCGGTAGTCAAGAGGTATCCGAATCAGTCCAGAGTATCATATTACAGATCTTGAATACGCTAATGATGTAGTCCTTTTAGATGATAGTTATGATAAAATGCAGGTAACGCTAAATAACGTGTCGGCAACTGCAGCAAGAAAAGGACTCAGAGTTAATGGAAATGAAATGAAAGACTTTTCGTCTTATGTGCAAGAAGCTAATAAAATGCCTCTTTTATAAATTCATTACCGGTTGAGGAAGTATGGAAATATCCGATTTCAAATACCTTGGGTCACTCTAATACCAAATGGTCAGGCAAAAAATGATATTGCAACCCGGATTACGAGTTCTTCCGGTTGACGAATCCTTTATGGAACCGTCATGAAATCATCATGAAAACGAAAGACCGCATCTATATAGTTGTGATTCGACCTTGTTATATGGCTCTGAGAAATGGCCAATGAGAGTGGAGGATATTAAGAAATTATCTATTCTTGTCTAAAGTACATTTTACGGGTCCGTCGAGCGGATAAAATATCCGCCACAAAATATCACATGATCGCATCCATCTTCGTTCAAACACCACCTGTATTAATAAAGTTATCACAGAGCGTCGCCTTCGTTCTTCGTCGTCCACCATAAGTGTTGTCGCATATTTCGTTACTTGCTAAACCGTGTGATGGATGGCATCAAAAGCGAGGAGAACCAGTCAAAATCTGAGCTTATACGGTCAGGAAAGATTTTGAACGTGTAGGACCAGCAATATATGGACTTAGACGATGGAAAAAGAACGGCTTCTATTACTGTCGATGGCATCAGGCGCGCCGCTTGGAAACGCCTTACCCTTGTAGCAAGTAATGGTGAAAGTTGTTAGGAGAAGAAAAAGAATAGAATAGTCTTAGTTCCTTCCAATGGTCGAGCTGATAATGGTCTTGGCCTTAAATGAACCAATCGACTTTTTTCTGGTTCTCTAGAGATGCGTTCTTCTGGTTGACAAAGCCTGTATGGCTGTGAGACGTTCCAGTTCTCATTGATTTTTTTTTCTTGAAATTTTTTTTTCTTAAATTTTTATATTTTTCCTTTTGTTTCTATGAGGAAATTTAAATAATTTATTTCAGATTCTTGCGTAAATTAAATATTTCTTTCGACAGTAGAATAAACAATATAAGTACGGCAAACGATAATCAATTATTTGAAGAAATCATATCATTAATCAATGGATTTTTGGTAAATAGTTATAAATTTCTTTTTCATCTTAATTTTTGAGGTTGTTGATTTGGTTAATTCCACTTATCATTATGATAAGGAGCCTTTCACTTGATATATCATCAACACGGAGGTATAAATGAATTTCAACCACCACGATTACGCTTTTCACTTATCGTCATTAAGCGACGGCAATGGGAAAACTGGTTATAACTTTAGCTTGAACTACTTCATTTGGCATATTTTACCGCGAATATTTCGTATGAATTTTTTTTTTTTCATTTGGAAATTTTCATTTCCCTCAAATGATGATGCTTGCGATTATAGCTTAATTTTTTATTATACAGCAAAGAAAAAATTTTATCGTATCTGCCTGATATCTCCTGGCTATCCATAGCAAATAGCAAATAGGTTTAATAGAGATAAGCGTCAATTCCTGTAATGGCAAAGAGTATCCAGCTCTTTGGTATTGCTAATATAGGTAGTATAAAGGAGCAACGGAGCATGTAATTTTTTATACTTTACACCACTATACACCTTAAGCAACAATGATCAGTGGCCAAAGTAATTATTATGATTAGTAATCAACTCAGTAAATCCTATTATCCTTCTTGAGATCCAGCCATCAGGTTTGGTTTTTTCTTTCATCCCAGTGAACATTTTTTGAAACAAAGTTATGAGGGAATATTTGAAAAATATAGCTCCGTCCTCTTCCGCAGTATTATTAGCCATATGCTCAAGGAACGTTCATTTTGTTATAAATATAGCAGTTCACCATGATAAATGGCAGATTCAGTCTTAAATTCAGTCTCAAAGTTTTCTACAATTATTGATATGATTATTGTAGAGAAAAGGCAAAAATGAAGTTATCTCAATCATGTCACCAAAAATTTTATCTTTAACACCAAATTCAAAGAATCAATCAAAACTATTATCACCAACATTATTAAGTTTTCAACGAGAAGGCTTCTTTTCAATTCCTGATTTATTAAATGTTTGTTTAAATCTTTCTTATTTAAATTTTTTCTATGTATTTTTATTGATAACGGAATGGAATTTATGAGCTGATGAACGCATATTCAACATATAAAATTTTTTTTCTCATCATTTCTGGTTAAGTTCGTTTCGCTGGCTTGTCCAGACAAATTTTGCCAGGGAATTCTTTGATCGACAAAAAAATTACATGAATCGCTAGCTTCATCCGGACATTGCAGATGTTGTAGTGAAAGAAAATATTTCAGATTACGAGAAATGACGAAATAGATTTTCATAACGTTTTACTCGATTTTATCATAAATATAACAGGTGCATCACAGATTTTGAATAAATTGTATAAATCGCTTAAAGCCAATATTAAAGAAGTTGATGAAATCAAATTTCCATTACTCGAGAATCTAATACGAAATGATCGCAAATGGATTTCAGTTATTAATTCCTATTCAGGTTATTTTGCTTAATTATTTATTTAGATGGTTATTCAGGTTATTCAAACAATTCAGAGGCAAAAACGATGCTCCTACAAGCACAATGTAACATTAATATTGCAAAATGACAAAGTGAGAAAAAATACTATACAGGTGAAATTAGATATTGGTGATATGTTTAAATAAGTTTTAAATTTTCGAAAGGATTTGCTGGTTAGACGCGCTCCGCTGGTTTATCGGACTAAATAAATATGCCAGGAATATCCCTTAGCGATTGAAATACAGGTGAGTCGCCGGTATCATCTGGGTTTTTAAACAAATTTACTCCTGACGTAAGTAGAAAGTTGAGCAACAACCCACTAAGCCATTCTCCTTTGCTTTTTCCGTTAGGTGACACTGCTCTTCGATGGAGCGTGGGGAGTCGGCCGAATTCTAAGCCTGATGGTAATTATTTTGAGCCACCAAATAAATAATATAGAAAATTTTTTCCCATTTTAACACTTCAAACTTCTAGATACTGGCAGTGCAATTCATTACAGCAGTTACTAGGAATAAAAAAATTATGCGGCATTACTTTGGTTTTACAAAAGGGTTTTTCAATCTTATCAATCCACTACTTTTAATATCTTTTAAAATGACTTATAATATTAGCATAAATTAGAATTTGTTCAATTCTTCCGAATTGAATCCATGAAGCATCGGAAGTGGATCCAAATCATATGAAACTTATTTTATCACCTAAGTAAGAAATAGTAAGAATTACTTTGTAAGAATTTAACCCGCTGTCGCGAAAGGCGCAAACAAAAAAACTATTTTAGAGCCGGACCGTTTCCATTCCTTTGAATTTCGCCCTTGGAGCTTTTATATTCTTCATTGGGCCATTCATCGACATCACCGGATTATGGATTATCTTTTGTATTTTTGTATTTTTTCGCCATTTTTATCCCATACTAGCCTTTTACGGCACGGGCATTCAAAAAATATTTTTGCCGTTGTAAATCACTTATCACTAATTTGATTGATTTGTAAATTTCGGAAAGGATTCGAGAAAAAGAAATGTGTTGTACTCTGTGTTAGGAATGGGAGAATGAACATTTTATTGATGAAGAGAAGTCTCATCCTTAAAAACTCTGAGCGAGTAATATTTTAAATGAAAAAAGAAATGAACTATGAAATTTAAGACTATTGTTAATCATTTAATCAAGATCTGAACTATATAAATATATTTAACTAGAATATTATCAATAAAAATTGAGAAATAATCAGCTTTCAACTAGACTTTTAAACTAGAAAATTTTCCAGCAATCCCTATCATTTAACCAATTGATTATTCTATTCAAATTACCCTTTCTTAAATAAAGTAAATATATCATCTTATCTCTCTCTCTCTTGTATACGTTAAATTTTACATATTAAAGATAAATTTTAAAATCATGAAGCTCCTCAATAATGCCATTAAAATACCTAGTGAATATAAAATTTCTGGCCAAAAATAAGTCGATTTTTCTACCAAAATTTTCAGAGTAAAAATTTTTTAGAAATATTAGCTTTACATTTTTGGTATCGTTTATCATTATTTATCATTATGAATATTCTAAATAGGATGATAGATTAGTCACAAGAAAACACTCATATCAGTGGCTAAAATTAACGGATAACGTACCACTTTCCCATTTTGTAACTCATATATATCAGTCATAATATAATATTTATATCAGTCATAATATTTATTACAATCCTCCAGCTAAATCAACTCGATCATAACATGTGTTATTTTCTAAAAATTTATGCTTCAAATGGATCTTTCAGCCAAACAAAAACGAGATATTAAGGAACATGGCTTCGCATATTTAGAACCATTTCAATTTCAACTTCTTTACGACGATATATTTCAAAGTTCGTTCTATTTTTCTTTTATGTTTTTCTGTGATAATTTATTTGTGATTTCTAATGAAATTTATAGAAAAGCGAAATTTCGTGCAATTAAGAAAGCCTAATGTCAATAAAATTCATTCAATTCTCTAATATGAATTATTCAAATTATGGTCGAATAATATTCAAATTATCATTAATTCGTTTATAAATTATTTATTAATTTTTAGATGGCGAAATGAATATTTATGCGAATATGAGCGAAGTCGAAAGAGAAGAACGATCGGAAATTTCGATTCGCTATCTCGCTTCAATAACAAACGATACCTTATCAAATAAAATTCGACAAAAGCGAGTAAGCAATCCTTTTCCGAAACAAACAAAAAAATTGGATGAGAATTTTCAGAGAATTAATCAAAAAGAAGAGGCGACAGATAATTCTTCACCAGTATCATGGTTTTGCTTGTAAATCATTCAAGAATTCATTCTCATAAATGGACGGCATTGGAATCAACTCTGTCGGAGAGACATAAATAATATTATCGTAATAAATATTCGTCCTTTACCTGCAAGTACCCTCTAACTTGTTAACCAACTGCTGTGTCCTTTCGTTTGAATGTGGGTCCTAAGCACTATTAGAATTCCACTTTATAAGAAAAAAAGGAAAATTCTTATAAAAAGTGACAATACAAGAAAATACTCTTATTACATCATTTGCAATTCGTAATATATCAGTAATCTCTGAATATTTAGAAAACTGAATCAAATGTGCTAAGACCATTTGCGTTCGCTAATTTTATTGCTCAAGGTGCTGCATTAGAAGCATATGTGCTATCGCCAAGTGCTTTTATAGCCGAAATTTTGGCACCACAGTCTTTGATTGTAAGTTGATTTACAATACTAATAGTGCTAATGATTAATCTTAATTTTTTACTTGCCTTTTTTTGTAATGGATGATATTTTATAGACATTCGCATTATCGCCTCGAGCTTTCAATGGTGTTGTATTGAGTCCAAGTGCATTGATAGCCCGTGTTTTGTCACCAACCGCTTTTAAAGCAGAAGTCATTAGCTAAAAGTCTTGAATGCATTTGAAACCAGCTTTTAAAAATTTTCAAAAATAGGCTCATATCTATCTCGCAAAGAAATGTGGATTTAATGCAGTCTGCGCGATTATTATGAATACACTAGATAAGCAAGTGTTATTACCAGTCATCATTTCTCATTAGGCTTACTTCGCTGGTCACTAGTTTTTTAGAAGTTCAGCATAGTTTTAGCTGCCTTGCAATTAAAAAGCTATAGATGAGATTACAGAATCAGTTGGATTATTCAGTAGCAGGTGTACGCCTGTCACAGATATGATTTGAACAAGTAGCTCGCAACACGATAGTCTGAGTGAAGGTCTCTGGTGAATACTATTATGCTGTCTCCGGTGAACTTTAACGAAAGCACTTGCAAGCATTTTAATTGTTGGTGTGCCATGTATTAATAGATAAGCAGTATAAGAGCAATATGTTATTTTTGAACTGCTATTGAGTTTTATATTTTCCTTATGCTGTTTTAACGCTAAGTGGTCGAACTTGGCCTATTCCTTTTTTAATCAAAAACTTCTTCTATCATATATGTATTTTAATACTTATTTCAGGTTCTTTCACCAAGAGCTCTAAATGCAGTAGTACTATCCCCAGAAGCACTGGCTGTTGAAATTCTTACCCCACATGCTATCGAACCACGGATTCTTAGCCCTGAAGTATTAGTTATTGATATACTCAATCCAGGTATTTTCTGCACTTGTTTTCATTTTCGATGAACATTATATCGCTCGTTTTTTTTCAAATCTTATATATCCTAAAGTTCAAAATGAGGTAAAAAGAAAGATCTATTACTTATATTGTGATGCAAAAAGATTTAAAATTAGCAGCCTGATTAACCTGATTTGTGTGTTTCATTGTTTTATTTTCTCCAAAGGTTTTTAAATTTATTTTTTGTCCCTCTGTTGAAAAAATTGTTTTTTATAGCCATTCTGGAGCCACATATATTATCTGATGAAAAGATTGGAGTAATGATTCTAAGTCCAACGGTTCTTTCGCCTCAAATACTTAGCAAACGAAACATGATTGTAGAGGTAAATGATAGTTAAATATTAGTGATAATCTATGATGCCACCATAAATCAGTAAAGACAAATCCATCGAATCCCCGGATATTCTTTTTTTTCTCAAAACTCATTAAGTTGTGTTCATTATCATCTTTTCGAAATCTATTTTGCTATTCGCATATTCATCGAATCTCCATTATTCTCTTTTATCTTTTGATATTTCATATTTCAATTCCTATTGTCTTTACCATTTTTGATTTTACAATAATTTTTTTATCATGCCTGCACAAAAAGTTCTTAGCAAGTTCTTAGTTCTGAAATTTAAAGGCAACCAAATCGCATTAAAGCCGTAGAGTTGCAGAACTGAGTCCAAGGGGATTAAAGTATTAGAAAAGAACAAATTGAGTTGAGAAAATCAAAAAACTCATCACATCAAGGTGCTTGAAGCTACGATCGCGCTTCTTTCTGAATTTAGTTCCATATTAAAATATAGAACTTTCTAATATTGATTATTGAAAGTTGCAATAAGATTATGAATGATGGAAGCTCATGCAAACTAAGTTATGAGCCTGTTAAAAATTTTTTGATATAATATTTTTAATATTTTGCAAAAAAAACGATAATTTGATCTCTTATAAATTTCGTAGTTAATTTTGCTAATCTGTTTCTGAAGGATAGCATAGACTGCAAAAAAAGCTATTTAAAAAAAGCTAAAAAGTTATTAAATTCAAAATTTTTGTAGATTTTGTCGCCCGAATTTTTTGGAACAAATCTTGAGCACGATGGACCTAAAGAAGAGCGACGAAATAACGAAAATATGGAACTACACGATGTTCAAAATATTTTATAAATTCAACTTACACCATTACACTTCGTTCCAATCCTTCTTATTGTTGTTTATTATTTATAATATATATTTTAAAAATATTTAATACAAATAAATATATATATATATATATGTATTTACACATATTTCAATGTATTATACTAGTGTATTTGCTTTTTTTATTTATTTTTATTTATTTATTTTTGATTTATTAATTTATTTATTTTTTGATATCTATAATATTTTACAGTTTTATGGAAAGAAATAAACTAATTAGAATGAACATTCTAGAATACTTGAAACTAGAATTTAATGTTTATGTAAATCCTGCGAATTCTTCTTCTTTCAAAATCTCTCATCGTTGCTGATAAAACTAGTTCCGTTGGCTATAAAAGCTATTCGAGCCAATGAAAATAACAAATGCACTCTTTTTGCCATAGGCCATATATCGCTGGGATTCTATATATTCAAAACCTTTACCAAGCACGAGATAGATTTGCACACTTTTGATGCCATTCATTACTGCGCTTAGCAAACAGTTAGGCCCAAATTCTTGTAATGCTTAACAAACAGCATAACATGACCAGTGTAGATAATGATATCTTAATGAAAACTATTGAAAATGGATGTAAGTACACAAGGCACAATTAGCTTGATATAAATTGTCTTAGGCATAAGTAATCAAAAGCAAATAGTTTTCTTGATATCTTCTACTCTCTTCACTATCCGGAATACAGTTCCGTCTTTCCGTTGACTATTTAGTATAAGAGTGAAACTAAGATATGTGCAAAACCCTAAATTTATTGAAAATCAGGCACTTCCTCAATCAGTAGTGAATTTACAAAAATAAGCATTCTTCACAGGTTATTATTACTCGAATATTACTTGAATTATGGTTGCTTTACGAAGAAGAAACATCACTATATATTCAGACTCCCATAAGAGGCATTTCTCCCATCTTGTCGCTGTTCCATATTTTCGAAGCTTCATATAGCCACAATCTTCTATGCTACCTATTCAGACAAGTGGTTTCTTGTAGCATTCAGCATCTATTCCAGAATGGCACATCATAGTGAAAGATTTGGTTGGCTTTTTTAGCATTCTATTATAGATTAGATTAGATTATTATTATAAGCAATGCATTCACTTCAATTGTATTATTTCGTAACTCCTCTTTATTTCATTAATTTTCTCAGATATATGCTTAGTTGGGAATATTATTCATCTACCTTTCTATACAGGTATCGTATTCTACATTTACCTTGTAGAGAATTTTCGATAATACAATTTCAAATGCGCTTGTTCTCCCAAATCTTTTAGCGCAAGAAAACTGAAAAATTTCAGGGGACAATTTCTCCCTATTACCAGCTTCAATCGATCTCGAACCATGATAATTTCAGCGTTCTGGTAATTAACACGAAACCATCCAGTGACTGCATATTGATACTAGTAGTTTATATTCTCTTATAAAAAAGAACGAAAAGCAAATAAGGAATGCTCGACAATTGCGTAAATAATATAATTCTAAATTTTTTCTGTAAAACGCCTTAAATGGAATTTCAAGCGAAGCATGAAACGAATCTTGATAGTGAATGCCGAGCTCATGATGACGCATGAAGAAGGAGGGAAAGATAGCCAAATGCCATGTTGCTTTCACTTAAGAAAAGAGAAAATAGAAAGTGTAGGATGACAATTTTTTGTTGTTTGGGCTAATATTTATAATATTTATATTTAATAATTCTATAAATAAATCTGATTTTGCTTTCGAATTATCCGATTTCTCATTTTTTTCCTTCTTAAAGCGAAATTCACCAAAATTTTAAAAAGTTTTAAAATTGCAAAAAATCTAAATTAATTTATAAATTTCATTTCTATGTGCGTAAATAAAAATAAAATTTTAATAAAATTTTCTAATGTAAATTTATTAAATTTATTAATTTCAAAAAAAATCTTATTAATTTATACAAAATTTATATTATTTTGTAATATTATAGAATTTTTAAGAAATATTTTCATTTTTTGTGGAAATTCCCAATATTTCAATTTGGTTTTTTTTCTTTTTCTTTTACGTTCAATTCTTTTATTTTTTTAAAAATAATATCACATATAAAAATCACATATAAAAATTTAATGCAAAAATGAAAAAATGTAAAAAAAAGTATTTTAAAGTATAAAGTAAAGTATAAAACTATTTTAATCCAATTCAATTTTAATTCAAAACAGTCTGCAATAAAAATTTTTTCTTTGATCATTTATCATTTCTGGTTTTTGTTCGCTAGGCTTATTGGTCTTATCGAATTAGGCAAATTTTGGCAGAGAAATAGTTGAAGAAATGGTGGATAGCCAACATAGCTTCGATTCCCGAACGAAGAGAGAGAGACTTTATTCGTGCTAAGCGTTCCGATAGGAGGGTAGCAACTGTGTAACAGTCTACCGTCCTCTTCAACCAATAAAAATTATATTTCCATCGGCTAAATTGGAGCATTTTCGCCAGAGAATAATTTACAGATAGGAGTAGAGATGAGTGCCTATACGGATTTTTCTTAACAGTAGGCTTGCTTAAACCACGAGCTGGGACAAAATCATGAGGATGATAACCGAAATTATGATTCGGACATATTGCCTCCAATTATAAAAAGCAACTTATTAACTTGTTAAGAAAAGGAATGCAATAATATTTTATGAATCCCAATGCTCCTAAAATTCAATTTTAGCAGTAAGTTATCCAATCTAAATATTTAGAAAATTACCGTATACCATAACAAAGGTACCTAAAGCATAAGAAGTATTTTTTTTTAAAAGTGTGAATTTTCTAAAGGATTGCCTAAAGAAAAATTGCAAAAAACGCATTTTATTTCCTATTTTTAATTTCCTATTTTTAATTATGGGGGATTAAATTAATTTAATTATTTGATAGGAAAAATATATTTTCAAGAAAAATATTCATTCTTTTTTCAATAAATCATTCTTTTTTTTCTCTTTTTATTCCTTCTAATTTTCGTTTATTTGCTTTCGTTTTTTTGCCTTTTTTCTCCTTTATTCAATTTTCAAATTTTATTAAATTTTTCCTAATGCTCACCATTTCTAGATGGGCTCATTACATTAGCTGTCGGATTAAATAAATTTCAATAAATTCCAGGTAATCACTTAGCGATAGAAATATATGTATAGGTGAGTCGCCAGAAGGCCACGGATTTTTTAAAGATAAATTTGCTCGGCGAGAATCTCGCGATGCGAACAACCGCGCATTGAACCATTACAGCCATTAAATTAAATTAAGTCAAAGTTAAATTAAATTAGATTAAATAAGATTAAATATAAATTCGCAAAATATTATTATTATTGTTAATATTATCATATCATTAATATTACTAATATAATCAGTTATATTAATAATATAATTCGTTGCTGTTACCATTATTGATTATTACTATTATTCTCATCCATAAATCCATAAATCAGTTGACCATGGAAATAATTAATTTTATTTTCAGAAGGTACGGATATTCTTTTCTCGACAAGGAAATATTGAGGAAATAAATTTATGCTTGGAATGGAATATCATTGCACGCTTTTCTATTGATTTTCGCTGTCCATTTAATTTCCTCATGTATGTTTATTTATTTATTATTATTGTTATTATTGTTATTATTTTATTTTTACGTATTTCATTTCATTATATTTCATTGTTCTATAAAAATTTCGCAATTTATGGATTTTTTTATTTATTTCCTTCAAATGAAAAAGAAAAAAAGGACAACGATATTTAATTAAATCAATTGAATTCAAAAAAAATTAATTTTATCGGAAAATAGAAAAATAAAATTTACTGAAATTAAAGACAAATAAATAATCGAATATCGCTGTAAATTTTTAAAATATTCTATTTAAAATATTTATTTATGAATGTTCTATTTGTTGCTGTTTTTGATTCAGCTGATAGAAAGGCACTCTGGAGGGTGATGGAATGTGGTGATATTCTACTGATCATCCGAATTGTCACTTGAAAGGCATTTTAGCAAAGCATATGAGCACAAATTTATACGACAGCTATACATCCTGAAGTAGGAATCGATGTACTTCGTTCTAAGTTCCATTATAATATTCAAATTATATGTTAGACTGGATTAAGGATATCACTTGCAAGCATTCAAAAACTATTTATATTTGCGCACATAATATCGCGTATCGCAGATGAGTCCTTTTTTAAAGTAGTCTTTTTTTGCTGACAGTTATGCTGGAATACAATAGATGTTTTGTATCGATAATTGCTGTAAACTTAACGTGTTAAACGTGTTAATATGAAAGGATGTTTACAAATTCACTACCTACTGAGAAATTGAATTGAATTTTAAAAATCTTGCCCACTCATGTGCCAACTGACTGAACGAATGAGGATTGCTCGTCGAATGAGGAGGCCAGACTAAGATGCTTTCAGAATCGTTGCGAAATTTAGGCAAAGAGGAAAATATTGAGAAGCTATCTGTTAACATGAAATTGCTCGCCGAATTGCTCGATGGTTGAAATTTTACATGGTTGCATTTCTCCAGTCTATAACCCACTTAACCATTCCACTACCAGTACAACTAAATTAAATTCTTTTACTTCCAGTCTTTTTAAATTCATTAAAATTTATTACGCATGAAGTGAGGAAATAAATGCATAAATATTTATTAATTTTGTTCATCACAAGGAAAATAATGGCCATGATCAATAGATTTTCCATGATAAATCGTCAATCATCTTTTTCAGTGCCTACTAATTTTTATTTCGAAGGCATCCGTAAATTACAATTTTGACTGCATTAAATCATCTTTTGCTAAAATAAAATAACTCTCTGAGTTTCATTATATTGATTTTGTTGATTCAAAATTGGATGTTTAAAAAACATAAATAAAAAAATAAGCGGTATGCAAGCACCATTTTTGGTTAGGGTTCGCTCGACTGGGCGTTTTATATGGTTAAAAGTTTTTGCTAGCAAAAATCTGAGCTTCTTTATTAAGTGACTGCAAGCCAGCATCACC